CGGTTCAGACAGTTCCGACTTCACAGTTGACCATTTCTTGGTAAAGTGCTCATAGCGGAACAAGGGCACGATAAATAAAACCGTGCAAAAATTCAGATCCAAACAGAGTCTGTGACGGCTTGTCGAATGACGTCTCCCTAAAGAGGCTTTAACAGCCTATACCAAGTAGCTACATCCGTGGTAACAAAATGGCGGAGTCGATATGTTCCAAATGGTACATAAGGAGGTCACAAAATTAATGCACTAACTTCGGTATATTGTTGCAGTATTGGCAATATTTGAGACTCTTCCTCGACGAGAGAACATCCCTCCCCAAGCTATAACTAGTTGAACAGTACCCCTTCGTTTGTCGCTTTCCTGTATCTCCAACAACCCTAAGGTTAAAAGTTTCAAGAGGAAACCACTGGCCGATTGAATTTATGGGTGGGTGAGTTAAAGGAATCCTTTCCGGCCATTCACAAATATTTGAGTTATTTGAAATTCTGCACGATAAGAGTCTTCTTCATTTTCATGATGAATCGATAGCTATAGGTGAAAAGGGAGGTATTTTCAAATGTATCCGGGCCGACGTTCCAGAGAAATGGAGGAAAAGTACCGCATATAATGTGCTCTTTCGTGTTGTCATAGCAGCACACCATTGGGAATAGTAAGACTTTGAGGATGAATGGGGAGTTCAAGAAAGCTGTCAGTCTTTAACATGACAGAATATCGATCTGTTTGATGCGCGACAAAAGTTTGGGCAACGTCAACTTATAGCTTCCGGATGATTGATGTATTGAGCTTACAAATTTGTACTTCTCGCTGACCGGTTGTAACCCTCTGCCGAGTTTTGGTACTATATCGTGAATCATGTAAGCTTAGACAGTTTCCCACATCGGTTTTCAATGCATCGGAGAATGTTTCGGTGTGACTCTATTTATCTTCATTACTGCAGTCCAGGAGAGAACACCAGTTCCCCGCTCCCGTAAAACCATTTCAATTTATTTGAATATGGCATAACAAGGAAGAGAAGTGAGCCATAGAGGAGGGCCTAAAAATATCATCCAAAGTGTCTGCACCTACAACACTGACAGTACATCTACACCACTGACATCGGCCAGCCGCTGTATCGTCTAGTGTCACCGGTAAATCCCAGGATGGGTCACGTTGGCTTTATCCTGGAAGGTGAACAGTACCGACGGCACCCAAATGGTATTAGGGAAATGCAAGCTTGTTTGATGGTATGTCTGCAGTTATCGTGCATCTCTATTGGTCAGTTTGGGGCATTTTCCATGTTGAGGACCGAATACTTCCCTGAGTTATTCACACGAAGGTCCCAAAGACCGGGAAACTGAAGGTCTGTCAAAAACGAGCCTATTACTATGCAAGATGGACAACCATCGTGGGACAACGAACCACACTTTGTCACATTGCATAATAAAATGATGGAAATTTTGCCTGAATGATGACAGGCTCGGTGACCAGAACAAATCGACGCGAATCATGCGTGGTACCTATGTTCGAAGAAGAAACGTTTTGATGGAACTGGTGAGTGGACACCGGGGAGTCTTTACACCAGAACTCTGGAAGTAATTACCATGGTTGCACGGTATCCGCACAGAAACGTCTGCCCTAGATGGAATGTCAACGTACTGGATTCAATTTAAGCATCGATATCCTTCAATTTTTATGATTCTACCGCGAGTCGGTTTTGGATATATAGTGATCATAAGTCCGATTAACACTGACAGCGAAACTTGAAGTGATATGCAATCCAGTTCAGATTAACAAATCAAATTTGCTGCAGATATTGCCTTCATGGGTTGAGTTTGGCATCTTAAGATATTTCCAAAACAAGTGCGTGACTGTGGAGGTTATCCCGTTGGATGCAAATTTGATTGGGTTTTTGAGTAAGGAGAATCGCCAAATACATATATGTGTGCGAAAAAAACCACTTTTAAATGTTGGTGCTCGACCAATTTTCACCACCCATATTCAGGGGAACTTCTCCTAGTTGCATCGTCTTGCTCAGAGTCTGAAAGTGTTCCCCATCAACAGAGTCCATGAGGGTGCTTATATCAAATCCTGGCTTTTCATTTATTTTTACCTAGACTCGAGAAACCTGGCAGGATCTCAGTCCTCATACTTCGAGTTGTACGGCCAATACCCACTGGAAGTATCGCAGTTGAGTAATCGTGTAACCGGTTTCTCATTTTATCTACACAGTGGCCCAGCCAGCAGAATCCCTGTAGGCAAAGGCATGCCCTGAGGGCGTTCATGGCAAACAGTATTCGCCCAAATTCTGTTGGATTTCCTATTTCTGAGAGAATACGTTCTTTTGTTTTTTGTGGAGATTTCATCCTGCAAGTGAAGCCAAACTATGCTGAAAAGTCTAGAAGCACTTCTCGGCTTTTCAGCATAGATTGGCTTCACTTACAGGACGGAATCTCCACAAAAATACGTTCTCCCTGGGGAATATACGATTTGATTTTCATTGGAAAATAGCAAGAAATCCATTATATCTGAATGTATACGGCCAAATCTACGTTTCCCAAGAGTGGGATGCCCAATTTGAAGACGCAGGTCAACGCGCAGATGAGTTCTCAACGGTTAAAGCATACCGAGTGAATTGGATGAAATCACATCTGATCACAAATTGTCACTACCATTCATGTTTTGGCTTGCACCACATTATATTCCTAATTCTGCTGTTTAGATTAAGAACCACAATCTGTTGCCCCTCCCACAGCAAGCTATTGTAGAATGGTGGAGACAATCGTTATTGACAATGTCAGTAAAGTCAGATTCCTGAAAACAACCCTAGAATACCCGGAACCCACTGAGGCCCTAAAACTCCACCAAAATTTTACTAGGAAAGCCGGCAACCATTCAGGCCAGTCAATCACTCAATCAATTCAGCGAAAGCCGGTTAGTGTTCAGGCAAGCTACAGAAGCACGACTGACTACGATGTGTTTAGGCACCTCACAGAAGTACAGTCGATGTCGATGAGTGTTCATTAAATGCCGATCAGACAGCCTAGATCAATGTTAAAAAATCCCCTTTAAATAGCGCGGGGCCGTTGTAACTATTGCACTCGCTTGTTTGCAATTCAGCTGTAGTATTGTTTGTTGGCGAGTCTTTTTCCGGCACTAAGGCACTGAAGCGAGGACAGTAATTAAATATAACGTTGAGCCATACGCAACTTCGAAAACAACGTCGTAGTAGAGTAGTAAATGGTCGTTGATCAGGTGGCTGTTCACCGAACTTGGTAATCGACTCGCAAACGTTTCGTCACCATAAGAGGAGACATCCTCAGTGCGCAGTTGGGTGGGTCCATCCATCCAGAGGCTTGGAAAACAACCGTGCACTAATGATGTCCCCTCTTATGGTGACGAGAATCGTTTGCAAGTCAATTGTCAAGATCGGTGAACAGATCAACAGTCACCTGATCAATAACCAATAAACTCACCCGAACTGTCAATATTGCAACACATTAATAAATATTAGCAGAAGAATAACAAGAAGCAAACGCTAACAGCCCAATTTCCACAGGGAAAAGACGAGTGTATATACGCACTCGATCAGTAGTGGAATCAACGCATCTGGGCACGGTGTTACTGAAACATTTCATCCACGTTGGTATCCCTGATGAGCCTTACGCAGCAAAATCTCAGCGCACAACGACAAACCTATGCCTGTAGTTTCGCTAGGGAGTGACGGCATGCTCAATGTCAGGATAGGTTACGTATCGCTTTCAGTCATGGGTACGTAGAGGCAAGTAGATCTCATCTGGGAAGTCATAAGTATCCCACCTAACTGGTGCCTCCATTTCTTGCTGCTATATCATAGCCTGTTCCACGCGAAAATTTCGCCAGAGGATTTTGAGTGGGAAACAACGAGCCGTTTGGAAGATATTGGCCGGATGTGTCATGCATACTTCTCTTCATGTCCCGATTTATATTTTTTCCTGGCTTATCGATTCTGATTCATCACTATTACGTATTTATTCACTGTGGACACGCTGTAGTCTGTCAAGTCCTGTCATGCCACGTAGGTACTGGTGATCAACTATTTGGTAAAAATATGGAGAATCTCTCATGTGACGATAGACATCACGTGCAACTCACTTGTGTTTGCTACAGGGAAGATGTTGGTGGTTTAGACTGTATAAATAACCAGTGTTCAGTTTGATGGGTATGGCAGTTTGTCTGCAATGGTTTCTTCAGCAGTCCAGGTGATGCCATCTGTTCGCAGTACACTGGCATCGCGTTGGCATGAAGGATTCTGGCATTACAAGGTGTTCTTGGTTTCAATCCTGTGGACAGGTCAATCTATAGCAACTCGAGATAGCCTAGCGGCTGGGACGCGGAATTTTTCACCAGAAGGCCTGTGGTTTGAACTCAACCGTGGATTCTTGATTGTTCCTGTCTAGAACTAAGCAGTACCAATGCCCTCATGCTTCCTCGGAGTTGCACGGCAATTATACGCTAAAGGTTTCCTGATTGTCTTCATATGGTCACTTTGTACGAAATCTCGTGATCCAAAATACAATGACATGAGAACTGGATTTCATAAGAGCAGGAACATTCCTTGATTGCTGGCAAAACCTTGGTCATGAATCAGTAGCTGCTGTTCAGAGCCCATGGCTGCTAAGAAGGGGATGGCCCTTGGTGAGTGGCGAAATGCAACCTGAACATACCATGGACTATTCAATTTTACTCTGGTCAACATGACCTCCAAAACATGTCCACGTCTTTCCGTACAACAACGTACAACGATTTCATCCTGGAAACTTCGAGATAGAATCTTCCACTGTACTGGTGGTGTTGCTTTCATGAATGTGCGCGCTGACTATAGTTTGCTCAAAACGCATTTGACGAAAATTTCCTGAATACGAAAGTGTGCTTAACCAAGAAAGACCTGGTTACTCTGTCAAGCCAAGGGACCATGAACTCATATCAACCCTAGGGGGCGCACAATCATACCTGATAAGAACCTCCGAATATCACAAACAGCCGTTCAGAATCATAGATGTTTGTATTGACGTCAGTGGCATGACCATTAAGAAAATCCTAAGCGAACGAGTGCACACAGAAGAAAGAAAACTGATCCAGATTTCTGTCGTCCACCAGATAGTCATCAAATTATAAACAAAATCGTAGCCGGCCAACAAAATTCACCGATTCGCTATGAGCATACCTTAATGGTTGACCACAAAACGTAGCTGTAAGATGAATGACGTTGGTAAACTGCACACTAATGAGATCAAAGCGATCCGGGCGTAGGTCAGTGAGAGAAGCGCTCAGACAAGTGGAGACCGATGAAAGAGGCCAAACCAAAGACACATGATATGTTCATGTTTATGGACGTGTGTGGTAGTTTCCGGAGAAAATATTCGACAGTAGTCCGCTTTGGGTGAGGAATGCATGGAAAACAGGACTGGGTTCATTGAAGCCCATGGCAGGGATCACACAATGCGTGGACTAGTTCCCAGTTGGATCTGGCCACAAAGACGCTGAATCCGGGGAACTGAACGGAGGGGATAACAATGGTTGGGGAGAGACAGGAATGTTCCAGATAAAGCGAGTTATTGCTGTTTGAAGGCTGTGAGGATGTGGTCTCCACGCCGCGTAATGTCTGGAGAACTTGACCTGGAAAGGAGGTCGAATCAAATAGAAGTATGATGAATAACGACAAAAGCAGGGGACACAAGAGAAAAAGAAGAGGGTACTTTAGAAGCTGTTGCAGTGGGCAAAAACCAATTTGTGCTGGCCATGACAGTGAGAGGGTTGATTTCCCACGTGCGGCAAAGACGCACACAAACAGCGGTGGAACTAGAGGATTACAGTTAATTGAGAACCATCGTTCAGCTATAAAACCTAACAAATGTCATTGTAACAGTTGAAGGAGGGGAACCAGTTGGAGCTATTTGAACATTGGAGAAAGGTGTTCAAACTGGAGGCCTGAACAGTGAGACAAAAGATCTTAATCGGGGACGTCGGTTTAAGCAGAAAAATGACCATGAGTATTGCTTTGGCAATAAACGGTTGTTTAAAAAAACTTTTCTGGCTCGTACAACGCGTTTACTTCCATCTACGCTTCTGCATGTGTCATTGCTGGAAATGAGACATCTAGCGAAAAATTCTCTTTGTAAAGCGGTTATGTCCATCCATAAGGTCTCTGATAGGGAGAAAGAACAATCTGACTCGACACTTGTGACTGGACGATACTTTATTTAGTGTGTTGGAGTAAAACAAGCAACTGAACAAAAATGGATGCAAGATAAAGTGTAAAACATGCTAAGGACTTAAGTTGCGAGAAATCTTGTTCCCCATAAAACAAAAACCACTGCTCTCCCCCAGGGATATTCGTTACGGAGTGATGAGTGTTTGGGTAAACAAGCAAGAGAGGAAAGTTTATCAAGAGTGAATAACTTGGTTTTAGTTGAGAGTTAAATGTCCTTTTGTGGAAATATTCGTTTGTCTCCACTTCTAAACGCCAAATCTTAGAAGACCCCTCTTTTTAATCGTTTTGAAGTAAAATGTTATAATTTTCCTGTTCCGATGATGAGACTTCAACATTTTTTTGCTTTCAAAAGATGCCTCGCTAAAATCATCGAGATGACGTGACAGCAATCTCGGTGTTGGCATTGCAATTTCAAGATGACCCAATGTCAAGTTAGTGAGCCAGGGAGTGTCGAAATACTGGCCTGAAAGCTCACATTTTGGGACACCTTAATCTGACTATGGATGGGCTTAAGTTTCTATCAAGATACTAGAAAATTACTTTTAGAGCATTCCATAAATTCCATCCATACATATTTTTCACAAACATGTCGAGAAGCAAAGCTAGTTGCATTTGTGTTTAAGCGTGGCGGGGGAAACTCGCGCTAGGTTGTCGAATAGTTATCAGCAATAAAATACAATTTGATACCCCGAATGATGAGGCAGCCTTTATGTAGCACATTTAGTTGAGGATTCAGGTGAATCTCCCGTTAACATCAGAGTAACTTGCAAATGAATGTATTTTGCTATTTGTTCAGTTGGAACGCACACGGTACACGCAACAAGTTATGCTCAGTGCTATGCCTCCATAAAAGTAATACGGTCGCGAATCGCGGCCTTAGAATACAAGAGCTTCCATTCCTTCACTATCTGTAAACAGAGTCATGACCTTAAACGGAATTTTGAGGACATGCAAAAACAAATGGTTGTAAGAAATCAAGAAATTCCAAGCGGTATCGTAAACCTGAAAGTATTTAGTCAGTTTCAAGCGAGTCTGAACAATCTATGGGGACCAATCGCTTTTGACACACGGTACACAAGTTATGCTCAGTGCTATGCCTCCATAAAAGTAATACGGTCGCGAATCGCGGCCTTAGAATACAAGAGCTTCCATTCCTTCACTATCTGTAAACAGAGTCATGACCTTAAACGGAATTTTGAGGACATGCAAAAACAAATGGTTGTAAGAAATCAAGAAATTCCAAGCGGTATCGTAAACCTGAAAGTATTTAGTCAGTTTCAAGCGAGTCTGAACAATCTATGGGGACCAATCGCTTTTGATATGTACTGTGGTCGTCCCATTTACTCACGTTTGATTGGTTTAATATATATATATATCCGGGGTGATCAGTTTCGGTAGCATTAGGTGCGGTTTAGACAAAACCCAACCGCACATGGAAGAATCGGGTTAGTGGCGGACTCTTGTGCGGTAGATCACAGTAATCCTGTCGCTTGCTCTAGTCCATACAAGCTAATAGGTTTATCGAGTAACTAGAACATGGAGCCATCCAGATTCGACTGTACTATGAAATTCTGTCTCGTAAATAAGATTCTAACAAAAGTCAAGATGTAACACGATGGTATATCGTTAGTGCACACCCTGAATCCGGTTGAAAATATGAGTATGCGTGAATAGTCAAACTGCTGACACTAATTCAACCGTCGATTTCGAGCAGAAACAAAAAAATGCCACGTAGAATGATTGTTCGAATACCAACCATAGCTTTGCAGCACATCATAAAGAGGGACGGTAACCTTTAGCTTGAAGATTTTAATCAAAGTGGCTCGAGTAACCTGAGTTTTGGATACAAGGAACACGGAAGTCTCACTTGAGGAATCACGAAGCCTTCATACACCGACACACAACTTCACAGTGAACTTTTAGCGAGGTCACCAACAGATGTAGGGAAATGAAGTACTTACCCAACACATTTAAGTGATTCCAGCGTGGGTCAGGCTGACGGGCTAAAAAGGAGAAGTCGCCGGAACATGGAGTATTCCTCCCGGTTGTATCACATGAAGTAGTGCCGGAATTTACAGAGTCGGAGTGATTATGCAGATGATGGGACCACAGCTGGATCAGTCGTCTTTTCTCCAAACGTACAGTCGGTTGGCGTGACAACTCTTCGAGCAAGTAATCAATGGATACCGCTTCGATGGGGTTTGTCATGAGTATATTAGCTGAGAAAACCGAGGGATATGAAGTGGCAGTTCAAATATCACAAAGTGGCCCTATGAAATCAGGTACCTACTGAAAAAGAATGCAGCCCCCTATGGTAACCACATCTCCAGAAAAGTCCCCCATTATCTGGGAAAAGTCAGTCGCCTCTAAACATTGAACCCATCGGCCACTACTACCAGTGTTCACCACCACGCGCTTTTCCGGAATCGCTTCTCCCTGGCTTTCCGGGGCTCCATAACATGCGGACAAATAGCTTGGAAACTGAGAGAGTGGCAGATCCGGATGTAAGACGAACTTACCAGAATCGTCTTCTGCTCCACCATCAGATGTGGGTTCATACTGTGACGAGATGACTACCTGTTTGCACAATGTTGGGAGTTTTGCCGGTGGCAGGCGCCACCAGGACAACTCAAGCACTGGATATCAGACCGAACAGTGCTTAAATCTCGGAAAAATATCCCAGCCTGTCCCTAACATAACTTGATGCGAGGAATTATTTGGCGTCGCGTGAAAATGATCGTGAGAGCCGACCATGATGTCTGCGGGACACGGGAAGCCAAGGAAATGTAAGGGGTCCAGAAAACCGGTAGTGCTCGAAGACCGTTCCAGTTGATCCGCGCGATCGGTCCCCGGAAACCTCCTTTTAGCGAAACTATCAAGGATCAGAAGGGAGTGACCATCTTGAATAGAGAGGAACGCCTCGACCGGTGGGCCAAATACTTCGAACAATGGATATCAGGGCCACCAGCTGCCACACATCAGGAACCCACAAGTAACATGGAACCCTAGATGGTGAAAGTAGAACCCACAAAGCTATCGAATGTTCATAGCCGCATGTGTACTCTCAAGAACCACCGAACTTCTGGTCCGGATGACCTCCCACCCACATTGTTCAAAGATAGGGGTGAAGTCTTCAGTCAGCGCGTTTGTGATCTGTTTGCCTGTATGCGGAAAAAGAAGACTGTCCCATACAACTGGGGAGAGTAGGTGACAGTGCCCATTTTCAAAAAAGGGAGCTCGTGAGTGTGGCAATCAAAGGGGATCAGCTTGACCACCGTCGTAACGAGGCTATTGGCATCACTTGTGATTCATCCCCTTATGGTGGCAAGTGAAACACTTGCTGTTGGCATCACTTGTGATACATCCCCTTATGGTGGCAAGTGAAACACTTGAGAGTAGCATGCAGGATTCCGACCTGGTAGGGGTTGCGTTGACCAACCTTTCACACTACGTCAGGTTCCAGAACAACGTCATACGTACAAACGACCCACAATTTTAGTATTCCTGGATCTCTTAGGCGCATTCGTCTCGATTAACCAGTCTGTTCTCCTTGACAAGCTTGCCCATCAAGGAATATCATTGAAGTTTGTGACCAAAATAGGCTCTCTGTAATCTCAGACTTCCGCAATTCGATGAGCAAGTAATAAGGTTGCTGAAAACTCTTCGACAGCCCAGGACCGGTTTCGTGCTTTATGTGGCTCATCAGGTAGACGTAGTCCCGGACTTTCCATCCCCTCGTCTTCTAATTGAACCCAAATTGCACGAACTTAGCGAAAGAAATTCATTTGGAAACAAATTTGGTTTTGCAAGAGACTCGTTTATGGGGAGTGTATTACGTCTACACATGCATCGCGATATCTCGTATATCGCACCAACTGGAACATGGGTCTACATGGCTTGGTGCAGCACACTCAGTTATTCAGAAACATCCTAAACGATAAATCCAGCTGGGTTCCAAGTGAGTCTCTCTTCCCAACCCAATTGGTATGCAAATGTGTGCAGATCAGTGACAACCTTCTGGGTTTATTGAGGCTGCCAATTTTTTTTCTCTCGAAGAGATACTGCTTATAAGTCATACATTGAACGTAACAAAAATATGGCAGTGTCTAGATATCGGATATCAAAAAATCAAAAAACAAGAACTGAGTGAGATAAATGATGTGATTTGGCCAAGGATCACTTGTGACTATTGGGCGTGTTTCCATACAGCTCCTAAATATGGTACGCCACTTACATGGATACATTTTAATTTTTTGATGGGCATCGCTTAGTGGTTTCCTTAAACTGTTGTGGCAACTGTTGGGTCGAAATGTGTTGCTTAAATGGGAATCAATTCTATGAAGCATGTATACATATGTACGCACATGAGGAAAGAAAAGCCTGGTAATGTTGATCCTCCATTCACGGCAAATGAGTCAGCATTTGTTCAGCATTTTGTTCATTCAAACAATCCGCAACCCGCGTAACACAACCAGTACTTTGGATAATAACTCTTATCAAGACCTGCTGATATCGAATCTTAAGAAAGGTTCATTAAGGGAATATGAGGTTCTGCTGACATACGGGCCCGCCTAAATGTGCCAGTCCATTCGAGGGTTCTGTTGGGAAATTTCGAAAAGTAATTAGAATGATTGGGCTTGTAATTCCACCAAAAAATGACCTAATCAGCTTTACTGAGAGCATTCTTAGAGTTTACAAAGTTTTCAGTAAGGGTGTTACATAAGGAGAGGAAACAGAGATCGGCGAAGGAGTAATTCTATAGAACTTTAGGGATAACCACATCCAACTGTCTGCAATTAAGATCCGTCGAATGGACTTCCTTTGCGAGTATTCCTGATAAATAATTATGGAACGTACGAACGTTACAGAAGGAACATTATAGGTGAGCTTCAGCTGGAGTACAGTCGCTACTTCTTCGCCATTAGGACTTCCAAAAAGTCAAACGAATTTTTCTACATCACAGGTGGCCGAAATGGTGGGGGAGGGAGAAAATTATGAAGAAATCATCCCTCATGACAGACAAAACCTAGCGAGTATTCGTAGTCTCACACATTCTGTTCAAGTCTCTATTTTCGATCAACCGAAGGATTTTCACTCCAACTTCGCAGGCAGAAACTGTTATTTTGAAGGTATCTCACATCCCATTTGGTAAATAGGAACATATTGAATCAGAGGTTGAAATTTCAGAAGTGGCCACTGCTATCCCCACTGCCATAATAATGATGCCTCATGTCATCGATTGAAAAGTTGTTCGAGAGGAGTAGCTGTTTCAAACGCGCACAAGTTAGGGGCCCAACGACTGAAGACACTGACTTACTTAACGCCTGAGTCAATGGGAACACGAGTCAACTATGCTGTTGCGGGTATATCAGCTAAGATGCAGTATGCGAAAACATATCGGAGGCGATGCCTAATGTCAGGTAATCGACCAGTAATTTTACTGCTCACAGAATAAAGTTTAATTATATCAAAATCGGTGGCTCACGGCCGTTTATGTACAGAAAAATCCTAGATTCTGGTCTGGACTAATCCGGCTACTTACTGAAGCTGAATGGTGGATCGAGAAACTCGTGGGGAGAACGCGGTAAACGAGAGAGTCGACGCCGTCAAACTAGGACAACATAACTTACCATTCTGTGTGATTCCATAAACGAGTCGATGACTCCAAACCAACTCGGATACGGAATTCACAGAACCGGATGGTTTGCAGTCAGAAGGGGATGAAGGTCGTGTGACCTGGGCCAATACGACTGCTGCACCGCGATGAATCCATGCGGAAAGCCAATCCACAAGATCCTTACCGCGATCGCTGGTGAGTTTTCTATCCGGTTGACGACTGATGCGAGGCCACACAGCAAGCCATCCATTTATGCCCGGCAGGAAACGGCCAGTCAACAGTCGACTGATTGTGCTGCGTGAATGTTTCGGACCAGAGCTGGAACTAGAAGACAGCAAAGTAACCAGATTGTCGGAGCAGCCCCGTCGCCAATCAGTGCCGTTCAGTGAGGTAGAAGCATTCTCTGAGAGTTTTGACGGTCCACTGAAATAAACCTCGGGCGTAAGGGAGAGTGGGACACAATTATCAATAGGAATAAGGGAGGATCCACGTTGACTGCAGTTCAGTATGTAGTTTACCATGCAGCCGCTAGTTTCGCACCGGGAATTCGATGGATGGGGAGTGGTGGAACAGGGGAAAGTGTTTTTAAAACTGTCCCGAGGAAACGTTGAGCGTTTTGGGGAAATGAGTGCGGCAGACGTGAAGGAGGATGAACGGGTAAACGCAGCGTCGGACTGTTCCGAATTCGAACAGACAGGCGAACAAGAATCGCCACTCCCACACACTCTACGTATTCCGTAGAGACTTGTACACAAGTCTTCCAGACCACACCGGTCAAGGAGTCGTAACACTTTCTGAAAAAGAGAAAAACGAAGAGATGTGGTACTGACAAGAACGGTACGGTACACAGCAGATTTTCGTAAGTAGTGAAAACGCCTTTGAGTTTTCATTTATCCAAAACTTAAAGCGTTGTCAGGAGACATCAATAATACACGTTCTTCGAACCCTGGAAGCGATTAGCATCCTGAATCTTTGGCAGAGATGCCCACTACTTTTATAACATGGGTGGCTGGTTACTAGTGTAGCGGCGATCTGGGATATATTTAGAACCGAGTTATCCTTCTCCAGGAGAAAGTCGCCGTGAAGCGGTAATAGTGGCGTAGCAAAGTTGCATACACATCCTGAGGGTTAGTCGGCACAGTGCAAGTTTTATGGATTACCGTACCTGGGCCTGAGTGACGCACACCAATGATTACCTAGTTGCTGCTTAAGAGTGGAGGAAAACTCTTACGCCAAAGGCCGTCCGTCAGAGGCTCCGCAAAGCAGGGCTATTTGACTTTCCTCCCTTTAACGTTCTTTTTTTGAAATTCACTCCGACCACCTTCCACTGAGAAAGTGATTTAAGAGTAAATAATGAAATATGTGGCAGTCAAACCGTGACGAACTTTATCGCCTCCTTGAGGGGTACTGTCCACTAACACTCCGTTGAGAACGATCTGCCTTAAAGACTGGCGAAAGGCACACTGGTGAGTGGTATCGAGAAAAAGAAGTTCAAATTTAAGAACTAAAACATGATTTAGGAAATAAAATGTCACGGGTCGCAAGGGATTCCTGACCAACCCACGGAGTCATATTATCTCGGATCACATGAAGTGGACCGAAGAGTGAGAAGTGTTTGAGAGCCAATTGACGATCAGTGGCTGTTACTAAATGGGCTCCGCTCCAGTACTTCGTAACGGCAGATTCCCCTCAAGATACACGGGATATGTAATGCTAATGATTTTCGAAAGAACCATATTTACGGAATGAGTTTATTTTGTACACTCTTCTGCGACCAAATATGCAAAACTATACTGCCACGCATCTCACATCAATTACCGAAGCCTAAAACAACACCTAACCAATATGACAGTCGGTTTTATAGTATCACCTAGGTATTTTTAGGAGAAGCGGTCTAAAACGACCCATGAACACTGCCCAAAAAACTCGACCTATGTGGCCAGACGGACTGAAGTTTCTTAGGAAAATATTGATAATTTGACTGATTGACTAAATGATGATTGAAACTGCTTTCTGAGCTCAGTCTTGGTTTAACTGCTTGGTCACGCTGTTTTAAACTCCCATAAATGACCTAAAGTGCGTGTAGTGTCATTATTATATACTTTTGGGGGGCATTAAAAGATTTATTCTACAACGCCCTTGTTCAAATCTCCTAAGGTGTTCAAAGTGGATGGGAGACTGAAAGCAATCGTGAGCTGTCGAAGAGTTTTCAGAAACCTCATGAGTAATGTGTTACGTCAATACGACAATTCAGGATCCTCACAACATCCATGTGGTACGGGCGAAGGTAACAAGAGTGAAAAAAACGATCATTTGCAAAGTAATTTGCTGTTAACGAGAAACCAAACTGAGTGACTGAAGAATCTTTCACGTACGATAATACCTAACTGAAAGTGGTGCACAGGGGATACCAAAAATTTCAATTGAGATCACATATGAGACATGTAAGTAGTTTTCTTGAAGAGACGCTACTCATAAGGTTGCAGAAAGCTCGTTGGTGGCCCAATGGACGGTTTCGGGATTGTTGGAGCTCACCAAGTCGGTCTAAACCCCGAGTTGCTACCAACCTTACTTCATACTTAAACAAGAAATTGTTGTGCAAACTACGTTACTGTTACAGCTGACATTCAGTTTTGTTTACCGTTAAAACCAACTTAATTTGCGAACCACCGTTTTTCTCTCAATGTTCTGTTTAACGTGACAAAGACGACGGCAATATATTGTTCAGGTGTTCTGTTATCAGGTAGTTCGCAAATATTTTTCTCTCTTCCGAAAGTTTCATTGAATCGGATGTCAGACGGAGGATGTCGAAATTTTTGTACAATGTCAAAACAAAAACTGGTTGCTTTTTCAACTGTTGAAAACCAGCTGTTGGCGCGAACTATATACAATTCACTGGAAACTGCAAATCCACGAAAAGTGACAATTTCGGACTGTGTTTTTGAAACATAGTGAGCGCTGTTAAACTATTAGTGTCCACAGAAATGTGGACATCGAACTGCCACCAGATTCCATTGTAGAGGTTATCTACCGGCAACTCACCAATTGCCTATTCACAAACGAACTACCTGCACCGGAACGTGAAACAGTTGCCTGAGTGTCAAAGTACGAAATGTCAGGTTATGCATGCTTCCAGACTTCACAGCAATATCCTCAGATTACCTCAAAATTTGTTATAGTATTCCTTCTCTACGATAGACATGTCATTTTACTGCTCGGACAGGTCTTCCCAAAATTCCATTTTAGTTTGAAAACTAAACAAAAAAACATTTGGAAAAGTTCAGCACGGATGAGGTCGAGGTGTGTCCCAACCCGGACACAAACTGAGACGTTGGATTGAAACCTGAAGAATTCTGGCTGACAGTTCGTGCCTTAACTCCAAATACGGTCAACACAACCTCACTAAGTCTGCTTGTCAGATGCAGTCCGGTGAAAACGGTCTGAAATGTTGGAGCAGTTTGAATTTAACGAACACCATTTTTTGTCGGTTTGAGTTGCAGATAACTGACCAGAAGGTAGCGCCTCGAGCACGGCTCAACAAACAGTTGTAGATAATTTTATACAGGGTCGGAAAACAGGCAGGAGGTGTACGACCCTGGATAGTTGAAGGGTTATAGGTATATGTACCTATATTTGCCTCGCATCCATAAAAATAATTAGGGAAATCGGTACTGATCCGGATGCGGTTTTCCTTTTTTCGTTTGAGGTCATGGACTTAAGCGCAGTCACCTGGCAGTGACACCAAAAAATCAATAAACTGAAAACCGACAGTACGAATAGCCGACCGTGGGTGGCGGTGGGCTGGGAAATTATTCGATCTTACTCATTTTCAAACAGGCGATAGGCACAGCAAAGTGAAGTACGTTATACCTCGGGATGAAGGCTCGGCAGGAGACGGTTATATGATACCCTGTCGCAAGCACTCACCAGGATATTCACAACGGTACAGGTCAGCGACTCTCCAACAGCCAAATCTGAAGTGTGTACCAACATGACCGCAGCATTTTCAGTGGCCATGGTTCGTTCTGCGTTAACTGGAGACAGCCGCTCACCGCAGTGCGCGGAGTCGCTTTTTTGTCCACATTTGCTCGAAGGTGAAGTGTCGCGAAATGCCGCGGGAGATGAATGCAGCACATGCGTATCGTTGGAAGACACGAGTCCAGGGACTTTCGGTGATAGAGGCGTGAATTTCTCGCACTGCACGCTACTCCGATGAAAACAAAAGCGTCTTGACGAAGTGGGAATCGCCTGAATATCAGTAACATCATTCTAGAAGGAAGTAAAAGAAAATTAAAATCAATACAGGCCTTTCTCCTCGCGATGCGCTCGCTTTGGAAAAGGATCACTGTGTCGGAGTTACATATGAGATAATATCACGTGAGTATGCAGGTATACGACAAGAGACGACGGAGACTGATTCCTAAACAAACTTAGATCCTGATGAAAACTCATGCAGGAGAGAAAAACAGAATCCGGTTTCTTTACAGTGAGTCCTCAAAGCGATACTCATACATACATCTGCCGAAGCAAAACCCCAATTCGTGTGAGGACAAAACTGTTGCAGTGCTTGTCTATTGGTACGTTGTCCAGCAGTGAGACCAGTCGATTTATAGCAATCCATCTCTGGAGCGAACATCTATGAAGAAAAAACCTTCAAAAAGAGGGAGGAATTCGCGGGTTTCGATTTTTATGACCTTGAAAGAGACGGCACCTCGAACAATAGCACAGCCAATAAACCGGGAATGAAAGTGCAAACCACGCAGAAAATGGTATTCCAACTATTTCCTGAGTACCAGCTGAATACGGTTGGTATACAAGGTGCTATTCACAGCACAAAGTTGAAGCACACTCACATAACCAATGACTTTCCCACTTAATCGGTTTTTGCAAAGCGAACATAGGGTTGTCAAGCTTCCGATCAATTGGGTCATTAATCAGATTGACTCAAAGAAAAAGAATCACGCTGGACGTAGTAGTAAGCATGGCAATCCTAACTGATGCTGGGTAGCAGCGACGCGTATACAAAGTTTAAATGGCTGTGTGGCGCCTGCTTTTCATGCGAAACATGAATAACCAGCAATCTGACAGTGTTCAGGGAAAAATGAAGGCGTATTAACCCAATTTTATCGACTTGATGCTCGGCGGGACTTAAGTTTACGACAAAATGCAGTGCGTGAAGCAACTATTTGACACCAACGGATTGATACTGACCGTGAGAAGTTCCCCCGTAGAGACATACTGCGTTTTTGAGGTCGTGTAGGGAGAACACCGAAAACTCCAAAAGCGCGACTAACGACGGATGGTTTTTCATGCCCGGAACAGCTGTCNACCGAAAACTCAAAAGCGCGACTAACGACGGATGGTTTTTCATGCCCGGAACAGCTGTCTTAAACTCGGATGACTTTGGTGGGAAGGCAGTTGAAGTTTTGGATGGGGGGCAAAGGATTATCGGATTCTGATGGCTATGGACGTTCAAAACCAAAAACATCTTTTTTTCGCACCTCACGCAAAAAAGTTCCGCTGTTCGATTAATTAACTAAAGGAATAGGTAACCATTGCCGTTAGTCTTCACTGGCCATTATGAAGAGTAAAACAACAAGGGCTTCAGAAACTAACCTCAAACAACTTAGTGCTCAGTGCAAGGACAGGAGTTTAGTGATCAAATGACCCCAAACACGGGAAGCCTGACCTATAGGGTATATACGTAATACCGAATATGTAAGTTTCCACTGTCTGTACCCTCATAGGTACTTCAGTCTTACATACTTGAATCATTTAGAAGGTAATCAAAAATGACAGTTAATCTGCTCTGGGTCATACACTCAGAATGACTTAATTTGGAATTTGAAATTGTTGAGCAACTATTTTCGGTGAGATACGATTGCTAAGGTTCGGAAAGCCACATCTGATAATATGAATCCATGGTGTTTGGACGCAGCACAAAATTTCAAACTAATGGCGAATTCACCCAAATATAAGTACCGTGCCAAAGTCTAAGTGGAATGACTCGGGAAGTACACGTGCCCATAAGTAAATTTAAACGATGGATGTATATGACGGACTAGTCATAATACAACTGAGATGGTTTTCGGAAAGCCGTTAGAACTAGGGGTATGATATACCTTTTAGAAGCTATGGAAACTTGAGAAACTGGCGAAGGTGGAAAAAACGTTTACAAGTCCTTGAGGAAGAAAAAACCGTTCCGTTGTAGCACCTCTACGGTGTCTAACTGCTATACCACCCGAAGGTTGCACGAGGGCTGGGATACTGCCAGGTTGCCCAAGCCTAGACAGGGGAATTCGAGGGGCCAGAGGTCGGGTTCGAGTCACGGACCTTTCGGTCAGTAAATTCGCGCTCTAACCACTTGGTCAATCTCGCCCCTCCTTGAGGAAGATTGCTGGATTATTGTCATGCCGCTAAAGGAATTTGCTTCGTTGTGTCTTCGTTAGCTTGATAGTAGGAATGTGTTTTGATGCTTGCTGCAGTTTCAACCAACACGTTCTTCCACTGACCAAAGCATTCATTCTAAGTACAAAACCACTACACACCAGGTCTTTCACCAACTGTGGTTCTGTACTCCTCTGCTTGGCATCGATTCTGTACTTGTCTTGAACGTACCTCCAGGAAGGGCACAGCTTCGGGCATTCCCAATAGCGTGCGAACATGTACAACTGATGTTGCCCCACAAAGGAGAAACAATTGTCTGCTACCACAGATAAATAGACGGCTTCCGGGGTCCCCAAAGCACGTAAAAACTTGAATCCCATCCAGTTGAAAACGTATCTGATAGCCGCAAGTGATGTGAAAATCGGTTTTGCAGCCGGTAACCGTTGCCAGTTTCTCTTTTCTGTCCCCGCAAACAATGCATGCGGGGTTCCATAAAGATAATGATTTCACTTTTGTTGATCACCTATATTCACCACCGAAGTTATCTTCCACGAGGGATTCGAATGCTTGGAAAAGTATGGTCACAGAGACCACTAGGACCGACCTCAGCCAAAAAAGCCCAAGAGGGTGTCGAACCTATGACATTGTGCACGCCTCAAGACATCATTCGCCTCCTATCGGATACTTTATGAGTCCTATGAGAGTGCCTTATGGAAGATCCTGATGGCTCAAGTGGCTCAAGTGGTTAGAGCGCGAATTTATCGACCGGAATATCATATCATGGAAGGAGAGTGGCACACATAGATTCCCCTTGAAGCTTGGAGTGAATGAGTGGATTGTGTTCCGCACCACACGCGATCACCTATCCCTCAGAAGCTGCATGCTCAACCACAAAAGGCCTGTCTCATTACTACTTGTAAGTGATCATTGAGAACCAATTCCGCCTGTGGTACCGATTGGCCAACAGATGAGTAACGTTGCCTTCCCGTTGATCCTATCAATAACCAGACACTTCGGCAGTGGTTATGTGGTCACAAGAAGTCTTAAATAGGTTATTTGCCCAGGACGAGTACCGATTAGCCAACAGATGAGTGACGTTGCCTTCCGGTTGATCCTATCAACAACCAGACAGTTCGGCAGTGGTTATGTGGTCACATAAAGTCTTAAATAGGTTATTTGCCCAGGACGGAAAATCAATGCAATAGGAAGGCTACTCGCGTCCAGTAAGTAAAACAGTAAGTGGTTAGGTAATACGGAACGGACTTGCAAGCATCCGTCGAATAAACAACAGAAGGGAGTCCATCTAGTCGTAGTAAACGCTCCGCTATGCACAAAAAAGGAGTAGTATTAAAATGACAAGTTACATCTGACTACTCCGGTGCACATATGTTTGTGCAGTTCCTGTAACTCATATTATGCAAACAGGGATAAGAACTGAATGCAACTGTGGACCTGAGATCATATCAAATTGCATAGTCTATATAGGTCTATCTATATAGTCTATCTCCTACTGTGGAGAGATTTGCGGCCAATTCATGTATACTAACATACTGGAGTACGAACGCTTTTCCCATGCTTGGGTAATCCGGCGGCTTTGGTTATATGATATACTAACACACTGGAGTACGAACGCTTTTCCCATGCTTGGGTAATCCGGCGGCTTTGGTTATATGATGGTCTTTGAACGCTCAGTAAGATATTTATGCGTAGAGTGTAGTGGCTCACTGAAGTGAAAGTTGAACTGGCCAGAGGCTTGATCTCACCGACCTCATCAGGTGTAAACATGATGGGTTAGGGGGTGACACAGTCGTCAGCCAACCAGAACGTAGCAGACAGACCGAGTTACCCAAGGTGCGCGTGGGCCTGAAAGACATTCCATGACAGTTGGAAACCCCAACCGGTGACAGTTCGTCAGAATAGTGATAGAAACAAATACTCCCCAAGACCAACCACATTAGAATGTATGCAACTGACGCGTCGGCGCATTTGCAGAAAGCGTACAGCATTTACAGAGATTCATGTGCTGCGGATAGAGGATTCCCCTCTAATTCGTGGGCTACCATAATACAAAATCTGCAAACAAAATAGCTTCCCATCCCCTGCAGGTTTTTCATAGAAATGGACCATTGCGCGTGATGGTAACATAAAATTTCAACGTTCGTCTAGCTAACTTACTATAGGCGTGTCAGGGGGAGGAATGCCACAACATTCCGTCGTTTCTTTGTTACCCGATTCCACGTGATGCACTAGGGGTGGCCATTCCTGAAAAGGAGGGTTTCTGGAACAGAAGAAAATTCAGCGTCACATCAATGCTACAGAAAGCATCTACAATTTAAATCGAGAAGTTATCTTGATTTTCAAGGCAAGGGAATGAAACTAAACACACTGTCGTCAAACATAGAATTATCGATTACTGATTTGTTAAGTAAGGTGGATAGCACGTTCGTTCATTGACTAGAACTGAGGCCTGGCCGTGTGCTCCAATTAGTCTCCTCTTATTGTGGGATGAAATTCATTATTTTGTCCATATTACTCTTCACCGGGAGACTATAGCGATCACATCACGCCGAGACACCCTTACTTTGAAAACATGGTCATGAGAGTACACCAAAGTCCGTCAACGATATGCATCCATCAACCCTTTTAACCTAGGTTACAATGCATTGTTTAATTGTTAGGCAGGAATCCACGCGGATCCCACTATGCCGCACGTCTACGGCGCTGCTACGGCCGAGAAGCCTGGCCCGCTCGAGGTTGGCCCAGAATTCGGGACGCTTGCCGGTCCGGCATCAAGATGAGATCTGATTGGTCAACAATCTGGACACAACAGCCAATCATGACCCAGTATTGGCCAAATGCCGGTTGCCAATGGCGCATCCAGAACGCGTCAGAAATTCCAGAAAGTTATAACCGCTTACGCTATATATACAAAGCGCTGTACAACTGTTCCTGATTTCGTTTTGGACCTTAATAGACCTTCAGAAATTCCAGAAAGTTATAGCCGCTTACGCTATATATACGAAGCGCTGTACAACTGTTCCTGACTTCGTTTTGGGCGTTAATAGACCTTGTGTACCTTTGGTGGTTGTTTTGACGTGAACACTAGCTTGGGAGGCTCAGACCGAGAACTAAGCTGAGGAAAATACCGTTAATACATTCATCCTGTTGCCAAACTCTACTATACGATAATCATAAATCAAAATAGTGTATAGCAAAGACTGATCGCTTTCAGGCTTGAGCCGATAACAGTGGAATTAAACTTGGATAACAAGGCTCCCGGTTCTGAGTCGCGTTCTGACGGGTTTGGAGCTGCATCTCGCGCAGTCCTCTCAATGTTCGTCGTCTCCCACCACACCGATCGTACGCATCAGTGCATGCATCTCAACATAGAAACAATGCTGAACTATTTCGTTGTTTCCTTGCATCCTGCCTGTCTTGATTGTATCATCCTCAATATGGCATTGATCAACGACCCTGGTTAAGTACTAACAACGGCAAATAGGTTACACAACGGAACTCGAGATGAAATCAACGGACGAGAGGAGGCAAGTGCTGTCTTGTCTAGCACGATATAAAGTATAAAAAACGCGTCAAATATGCAAGCAAACAAGATAGAGCCAAAGTTTGTAATTATGGAAACCGAATAGAATGATTCATAATTCTTGGGTCTCGCCTGGGCATAAAAGGTAAGATAACAAAGTGGGTACACTCAAAATCCTATCAAACGTTCAATGGTGAGGTCACTGCGGATGATACCAACTATCCACAAAATGGTTGAAAGCGAGAGACTCGCTTCTAAAAACAGAAAACCGAGACAGTTTATCAAACACATACTTTCAGAAACGTTCCTTTTCTGCCTTACGGTTTCAGATAGAACAGTTAGTACCAAGTAGAAATATACCGACAGAAACAAAGGTTCAAAGGTGTTAAAACCTCCGGCTGAGAATCCATGTGACAATTTATATGCATTGGTCGATGGACGGCTAGTCGATCAAAAAGCGCTTAGGTGATACTGGGTACCACATTAACTGGTATTCAGTCAACCGATCAAAACAGCTCGCTAGACAACACTTGGCGTAGCCCAATCGATGACACCAAAATTGATGAATCTAGTATTATGCGATCAGAGCGATTAAGCACTGAAAATAGTCCGAATGGCTATTAAGCAAACACCAGGATTCTCGTATTGTTGAGGTTTTCGGATCCTCGCATTAGTGCATACGCTTTCCGTATACTTTAATTATTTATCCTGATCACGTGATCCTTTACACGATCGAAAATAACTAGTCGAAAACGTATGGTCTCGTCGGGTGTAACATGCTTCAAACGCATGGGGATAATTGATACACACCAAAAGAGAGATGTCACGGTCAATTCATTGTTAAGTAGCTCCTGCTTGTTCGTTCAGCTGTAGCGCCCTTTCGGTGGCTAGCTGCCATGCCACCCGAAGGAAGCTCTTGCTCATCCTCCTTTGGAAAGGAAACCTAAGAATATTGTTAGTTCAGGTATAAAGTAGGAAAGAACATTCAATAACTTCGATCGAAAGCCTCAGAAAAGCTTACATTCGCAGCAGCATCACCTTCTGCGGAATCGCTACACACACGTGCTTGGATACGAGCCAAACGACGAGGTAGGTGAATTGGTTTATCTGGGCAGTTGTATGAGTTCCGGTGGACTGACTGGAAATGAGATTACTTCTCGAATCGGGAGAGCCGGGGCAGCTTCTGCCATTCTCCGATACCTATGGCACCGACGCGACGTCAGTTTGTCTGTCAAATGCAGGGCTTACACTACGGGAGTATGACCCATACTGCTTTATGGATTGGATACGTGGCTTTTAGGTGAAAGCGACCGAGAGGTGGACAGTGTATGATCTGACAACGAAGTATAAAAATGTAAACCAGTAAACTTACTCGGGTCGACAACTGCCGCTTTTATGGATGGGGATACCGGGACTCAACTCACCAATAGTTAATGACACTGACAGAAACGGCTCAATCGCGCAGGCAATGGCGGCATCAAACCTATCACCTTCCAAAACTAACCAAATGTGTCATCACCCCCAAGGCTTGGCTGTATGTCCCACACTCTTCCACTTTCCGGTAATCGAAACTGTAGCATCTGGAACCATTGTGCCTATGAGACACGGTTTATAGCTGGCAAATTGATCGATTGAATGAATGAATGAGTGATTGAATGAGTGAATGAATAGAAGAATGTGTAGCCCATCTTGATGAGTGTGTGACATAGGCAGATATCAGGCACACTATTGGTAAACACTGCATACAAATAAACGAAAGTCTTCAGATAGAGTGAACAGACCCATATTAAAAGTGTGAACAATAAAACACCAACTTGCCAAATAACACCTATTACAGTTGGGACAGAACCAATAATCATACGACAACAACGGTGAATGAAAGTATCCACGCCACACCAAAACCCTACAGGGTTGGATGACTTCTGAGGATACACTAAATAGACAGGAACGTCATTTATGTACCAGTAACTCCCACATCCATCAGAAAAATCTTAACAGAACTTAACAGAAGTTTACTTAATCAACTCCCTAATATGAGAATCTTCGTCTGAAACTGTGCTCGAGGGGACCGAACAATCACAACCTCAACGGGAAAGCAAAACAATTGGCGTACGCTTCAATCAGTGAGTAGGATCGAACATCAGACTACAAGGATTCTGATGTTCGACACATGTCGATAAAAACATCGTTAAACATGAGACCACACGAAGTGATATCGTGTTATCATGGATTTTCTGCCCTTCACACGTGTACAGATCCATACACCCGAACTTTTTCAACACAACACGATCAATGGATGTGCTATGAAAAGGAGAAGACCAGTAAAATACTAACTGACTGCCGCTAGACAATTTCTGTCAATGTAAGACGCCCTGGCGAAAATTGCTATGTTGACATGGGGGTCGCCTACAGCCCCTACCGAAGATGCTTACAAACAAGGTCGGAAAACGTTTGCAGACATACATACACTAGGTCAAGACTTATAGACAAGTTGAATTTCTTACCGAAGAGGTCGACATGATTCATAAGTAGGACAAGCTGCCGGACGGGAGCAGCTTGAACTGGCACTCGGCAACGTGTTGAAGAACAGAGAAGACTGTAAGGTTGGGTTCGACAAGGTTCTTGGTTGAAGTGTGTGTGCATGCGGACGGTGGTTTGGAAGGATATTGCACTCATCTTCGATCCAGTTTCCCTCGCTCCCGCTGCTGGCCTCCTCAGATTGAGCGACTGAACGAGAGCACATGTCCAGTTCAATATAGTCCTCCATATTGGGAACTTCCCTCCCTTCAGAGGGATTACCAAACCTAGCGAGAGGAGCCTCCTGTTGCCACCCATATCGCGTGTTACTGAAGTCCGAAGGAGATCCGGAAGAGAAAGACAATGACAAAGAGTAGGAGATAGCCTCATGATTGCTGATATTACTGCGGTCAACAGTGCGTCTTACGCGACGTCGAACACGCGGAGATGGACGTTCAGCTGATGTGGAAGGAATAAGGTTGGAGTCAGAAGCCGAAATCTGGCGTGGTTGCTCGAATTCTGAAAGAGGTGGTCGTTGCGACGAGTCATCTGAGTTGAGGTCGTCTGGTATAGAGAGAACAGGTGGAGACAATGTTAACCTCCGTTCGGCCTTAACATCAAGATAAAGATGAGAAAGACTGAGATACACTTTGCACACTGATATGCCTTTGTGTCCCTTACAAAAAAGACGGTCTGCCGAAACGGCATAACTTTTGGGTAAGCCCATGATCACAACACTGAACTGTAGGCTTCTAGACTCTGAGGTTCGAAAAGTATCCGACTATCAAACGATTCTCCGCAATGCCTAACTCAAACTCCTTGGAGAACGACGGATAGTATAACACTTAACCAAGGATGTGTGGTTGCGGAGGTTATTTTCTTTCAACCGTGGTCAGGACAAACAAGCTGGTCGGTCAGTCAGACGCAAAAAACCGACACGGGGCAGGTGCACTCCTCCGGAGAATCGCCTGTAGAAGTTTGTCACTCGAATGGTAAGTCATTTTGTTTTAATAAAGCTGTCACGCAGCTAGCCATAATATCGAGGTTTTTTGAAAATGAAACTTTCACCTTCGGAAAATTCCTAAATGGTCTCATTTTTCAACAAGTTCATTGAAGGCACCGATAAAGGACGATTATCCAGAACGATCATCCGGACCGTGTTTTGCTTATAGTAGAGAACATCAGCGGTGCAGACTTGTCACCAGGCTTAAATCACCCAGCATTTTCCGTGAACGGTGTACTTTGACTAACCAAGTGAAAAATTGGCGAAACCGGTTGAAATATGGGTGGACTCCTATTCACGCGACGGCCACAGTTGCAACGGGTGATGTGCATCCACCACCTAATGGGTACCATGTTCCCCATGGTTCTGGGGTTTGTTCTAATGGTTACCATACCATGTTCCCCATGGTTCTGGGGTTTGTCTTTGCGCCCTGCCACTCAACGGAAGACCAGATTGTGGGCACATATTTCTCAAACACTCCCAACAAATTCCGACAAATGAGCTGTAGTATGGCTTGTGTCTAATGCACCCGAAGCAGAACCCCTGAACCAGGTGTCCGATTCCCTGTGAGCGCTACCAATCCTGATACATACTGCCATGCAATCCATACTGATTTATGGATCAGAAACGTGATCTCTGTGAGTATAGCATGTACGAAAGCTGTCAGTGCTTGACCATCGGTATCTCCAAAGCATTGGCCGCTCCCGGTGGAAACGCGGGAGAGTCACTGCTGAGGTAAGCAGGACGGATTTAGTAAAAGGAACTCTGTTAGTTGTTGATCGGGTGGCTGTTGACTGCCAAGCATCCGAGGTACCAATATTTCGTCACATCACCCAGAAACGAATCCTCCTGTCTCATAAGTTAAGCTGTAAGAGAGCCCTTTGTCCACCCCTGGGTTGAGAGGAACTGATCGGGAGTCTGGCAATGAAGTATGGAAACACTGAGTAGTAAACTCAGTCGGGTTAACAGATGCCGCCTCCCCGGATTCATCGTTAATAACACTAGCAGGCTTGCCTCAATTATGCAGTCAGTGGAGTTCGTGTATCAAAGTTACCGCTTTCAATGCGCAGCAGCCTAGTTTCTCGACTCCTCAGAGCAATATACAGTGCAAACTAAGTGACTCCGTCGTCACCACAAATTTCTGGCTACACATTCCATGCACTGTCATTCTCCCGCGAAAGAAAATGTAGCAACTGGAACCAATGTGCCCTTGGCACATGGTTTATAGCTGACAAACTAAACTAATCTGTTAGATCTTCCATGTGGATCCCCTCCTTTGGATCCACACCGCCGTCCATGTTTTCTCCGTTGAACTCTCGGTCCTTGGTTCAGTTTGAAGCCCGTCCCCTATAACTAGTGCCGTAGATAAATTCGCCCATTGCTTGCGGAACTTCCTCGTCTTAGTTCTCCTGTAATCTTCGATCAACACGTCACAAGCTTTCTACGAAATCCAGTCACCCTTATGTTTAGATGCCCTGTAAGGTTTTGTTCCATTGGTGCGACTTCCCTAAGCTTGCTACGAAGGTTTTTCTTAACCGCCTGCTTTGTTTTTCGGGAAACTTCTTAGCGGCTTCGGTTGGACGCATTTCTTACAACTCGCTCATAGGCCAGGCTAAACGTTGGAATCTGGATGGATTTTGTACGTTAGTCGGTGACTGAAAAGTACGTCTGATAGCTTTTCTTTTCATATAAGATTGTGACCACAGGTTTGATTTTTGCGTGACTTAACATCTACGTTGGTCCGTTGGTCTAAGGATGCTAGGGAAGCGTGTCTACTTTTCAGCATCTCTTGAGATCCACCAAAGTTAAAACGTCGACCCTGATTGCTGGTCCCATTTTCAGGTGTGCCAAAGTGCGCGATGACCCTTTTCATGGAAACAGATGTCACCATTATAGCAGTTTGAGTAGCCATGATCGCCTCGGTTCATCGCGTGAATTGATCCATGATGACTACAATGAGGTCTTTTCCTCTCGGACCAAACACAGTCACTTTCTATGCTTGTAACCAATGGTCAGTTGTGACCAACTGCGTCGGTGGTACCTGGGACTCTGCTTTTAAGTCCCCTTGTCAATGACAACAATCATAGACAGCCACGGCTAAAATCTACGCCTCCTCGGTACACCATATATGTTGTAACAGCCGAGGTTTGCTTGGTCATGCGCCGTCAGTAACAGTCGACGTTGATTTTCTATTGGTCCATAAGTAACTCTTTGGGTCCCTAATTTAGCTATCGGTGCTCCGCTTTCCGAAAAGTCTACCTCGTAATCTAATGAGCCCCTGCAGCTATGGTACTGTCGCTTGTGGCCTCCATTCAGCTCATTGATGACTGATCACTTCTCGGAACACATGATCAAGAAACCGATGGCACGTTACTACTTGGACAAGCAATGTAGCAGAAACCACAAATATGGCATTCCCTGGAAGTTTGTCAACATCTCAATTGGGTTGGACGAGTGTGCATGGAAGTGTGCTGTTACGCTCAGGCGTTGTGAATTCGAATGCTCGAAGAACTCGTTCTTATCCGATTATTCATCAGTGACTATCATCAGCCACAACAATGGATTAAGGTCCACATCAAAAGTGGATGTTGTGACCATTGTGAATGCCACTGCGAATGCACATCACATCTTATTCAACAACCAAGCGCATCGCCATTTCGAGAAAACTGTGCCAGTTGGGTTTCATTCATCTTGTGGTTGGTCACGAAATCAGAGTGATGGAGAGGATACGAAAAACAATAGCTTTTTACTGCGAAAACATCGAGCGGGCGATCGACACACTGGATTAAGTGTAAATAGGATTCCCCACTAACATGATACTTCTTATTGCGTTGTGCAGTAGCGCTGCTGTCTGGTGGATGCCGTATTTCGAAAAGCGGTTGGACTTGTGTCTAGAGCATGCTACTCACCGGGACATCAGATTGAGATGTGTGCTCCCAAACACTTGGAAGTACATCCCGAGTACACTGACTGCCCTCCGCGCCGTTATCCATGTATGCTGCCTATTTACATTGTCTACATGACCGTATCCGTTTTTTTGTATCATTTGGCACTTACTGGTAATTGCTATTAGAAAGCCCTGCAACTCCAATATCCCTTTTTCTGCTCCTACTGACCGCGCCACTGTTAATTGTTTATTCTACTTCATAAGGTTTGTTTGCCCATCTGTTCATTGAACCAGTTGCCAATACGGTACCTAAAGCATTCATACTGCTGGGTACCTACTCAACACCAACTGCGTATTGTCCGATAGCTCCAACCGTCCTGCAAGATCCATGTTCAGTCTCGGGTGACCCGATTCCGTCAGAGCGTGCATTCGAAAGTAGGTGTAGCTGGCATAAAATTTGGGCGCGAGCAGACAGGCGACAAACCTGGACATTAGTAACTAGAGGGTAAGCAAACCTTAAGCGACAAGAGACCGACATGGATGGTAAACAGGGGTAAATGACGCTACTCATGAGTAGCCAAACAAATAGGGAAGATAACCGCTGTTGGTCGTTGATTCACAGGAATCAATAAAGTGAGCGCCCGATACGAAATGTGAGACAACGACGACGCAAGACGGGCCAACTAATGAACCTCGTACAATCTAACAGTAAAAAATGATCGCAGGACCGGTATAATTCGACCAGATATAAAACTTAGGAGTTGAGGCCATTGTGTGATGGAAGATTCCATAGGATGCTTAACTATTCGGACCACGCAGTAACAAAGAGCAACGCAAAACACGCTAAAAATGGATCGAGCTGGGATATTCGGTTTCTATAAACTACGAGTAAAATTTCAATGGAAATAAACAGGCCAAAAAAATGAGTTCTTGGGAGGATGGCGTACTGCTACAGAACTACTGTATAAAGATCATTAATAGAAGCGCGATACCGAATCCCTCCGAAAGGCCAACAAACTCTTTTCCCCCATCAAACAAGCATCAGAAATCATTGAGAAGCAAACCACTGTGTCATTTCTTGGTGCTGTACGGTCAGAATATGATGCTTGTGCGACTGTCTTTGGAGTCCACTTGATTTTTAACCTTACTGTCATCAGGACGGATTGTGAAACATTGATGCTTCATGCTAAACACCATCAATTCGTAGTTGCACCGTTCATGCTACACACCATCAATTCGTAGTTGCACCGGAGTGATACATCCATAGTTTCCCTACCCCAGAGTGCTGAGTTGTTATGAGCGAAACAAGGACTATATAACGCTTGAAGTAAAAGTCCAGAATATTCACATACACCACGTAGGTGAATAATTTCCCCTTGGCAAGTAATTGGCGGTGAATAGAATACGCGTATTATTCGGCTAATTGACAAACGCAGTAAACGAATGACTAAGGGCTAGAGCGAATACGAAATGGACTGATGCCCACCCCAAGTTTTGCTGCGTCTTCCGGTTAGAGTTCTTCAAACGACCACTGCCTCTCACACAGGAAATTCCAAAACCAAGGCTAGCTTCTAACCTGCGATTTCGTCAGCAAGTTATCCACAAATGCCAATGCAAGCTCTGAAAAATAATACTTACCGGCCGACCAGATCAACAAGTTTTCACTGGATTCAGAGTGTGAAGAACTGAAACGAGCTGACAAGACACGATCAACTTGTTCTTTCAGGCTCCCTTCAATCAATTCCATCAAACGTTTATAGCAATACGACTTAATGAAGTGCGTCCAGCTAAAAATGTGCAGAGAAAAGTGAATAACACGTAAGGGGGCAGGGGATAAAGAGGTCAGCAGGCATGGACAGATCAATAGCGCTATCGTCAAATCGTTTGTTTGAATTTTTGACACTACATCTTTGTTTGCTGTAAGGTCTCTATCTGTATTCTTATTACCGTTGCGATTGAGTTAGTTGTTGCCTAATCTCACTAGACGAAAGCCTATATGTTGACAGTGGGAGTCTTAGAAACTAGTACGTTTTTCATTATCTCCAGAAAATATTATACAGATGGCGGAAATTCCTCTCAACTGATTTTCTCTTGAGAGGGATGACTAATTTGAACAGCGTGAGGCGCATTATGCACTACCACGATGAAAGTTCACGTGCATACAAGTATTTGCGGTTGCCCTCACTAGAATATTTCTCGCCTGATATACATTCCCTTGCGGCGTGGTGAAAACCAACAAAGTGGTCATTGTCTCGTTTGAATTAATAAGAGCTGAAGTTTCCGCACCACTTGCCTAAAGCAAAGGACAAGATTATCACGGTAATTATCCTCATTTGACAGCGAAAGCAATGGGAACAAGGTAGCCATATGGTAATCACGTGCCGTTTCGTTCTGTCATCCACCCTGGTTAACTTCACTAACAATTACGTTGGAGACATGTTCCGCAGAATGGTGCTACGCTTGTATCCTGGGCTGTGGTTAGAGCGCGAATAGACTGGCCGGAGGGTCCGTGGTTCGAACCCGACCTCTACCACTCGACTTCCCCTGTCTAGGCTTGGGCAACCTGGCAGTATCCCAGCCCTCGTGCAACCTTTGGGTGGCATGGCAGTTAGGCACCGAAAGGGTGCTACAGCTGAACGATCCTGAGCTGTATTATCATCCGGGTCAGATCGAGCTAAACCAAGTCAAAAAAGAGACCACAGACACTACAGTGTTGGGCAGTGTTCGCGATATCTTTAAACGCAATTTTTCGACTGAAAAATCTGGACGAATGGCTCATAGTATTTTTGTAGTTCCCTTTTGGAAGGCAAACAAAACGTGTGGAAAACGAAGAACTGCCCTCTCATTGTATTTTTTCAGAGGACTGAATGCAACAGAAAAGCTAATCTGTCGAGGAAATTGTCTACTCGATGGAAGCGTTTCCCGTCGGAAGATTCCTACGTGGAGAGAATTACATACGATAATTTCGGCCTGGCGCAGCTACCGTTAAGCCTTAAGCTACTGACAAAGTGATCTGTGATTTGCACCCATCCTGAAGTTTAGATAATTTTTGGTCCAGGTTCATCAACCTGGTAGCATTACGATTTCGTACCTCCTTCGTGCTGGTAGTTCACAAAACCATTGCAGCTAGCTTGTTCTCCTCTATCCTTCATCTGCCTGACAGACAGCAACTCAAATCCTTGATAGACCGATGTGTTAACTGCTGACATACTGGGAGCCGGATTACGGATCAGTTACATGCAACTATCCGATGTTTCTCGAAATACAGCAGGAGTTCCCATGACACCACTAGCACAGTCACATGGTTCTTCAATTCGATCACAACTGGGAGAGTATTCACCTATAGTGTTTCTCGAAATCCAGCAGGAGTCCCCATGACACCATGACATCGATCACAACTGGGAGAGTATTCACCTATGAAAAATACGGCCACCTCTCCAGTACGTTAAAATTTGGCGCGGTTCTCCCGGCTAACACATTGCCTTCGGCGTCTGGGCTTGGGCAACCAGTCAGTATCTCAGCCTCAATGCCTCCTTCTTTCGGTATGGCAATCAAGCACCGAGAGGGTACTACCGCTGAACAACTGATTGATTTTTTGTCTGAGCCTAGATCACAAAGTTTAAACACCATTATTTAATTAGTGGGTTCAGCTGCTAACATTGAAGGCAAATGGTGGTATTCCGGGTGACGAAGTAGCAAAGTAACCGAACCGATCGAAATGGAATGTACAAATTTCCTGAAAAAAAATCTCAGGGGACACTCTTTGAGGTGAGCGGTCTGTATCACGACTGCTGCAAACTGCTAGCGACAGACCAATGGGTTAGGTGCCGAAGCATTTAGACCTTGAAAAGATTGAACAAGACGTACAAACACTAATACAATTCCACAAACCCATAATGCCAATCCTCAGCCGTAACACTGCGGATGCACAGCTTTGATACCACTCAGAAGAATGAAGGTCAGGTTCATGAGAACATGCATCGAAGATTGTAGCACTTGCGTCAATGGATAGAAGGGAAATGTCTAGAATGTCACGACAGTGACGGAAAAATCACACCAGCCCCACTGCGCATGGTTATTCTTTGTAAGGAGGAGATATGCAGCCAAAGTGGATAAGAAACACATATGCAAACGAGTTGTGATGGGATTGTCGCATTGAAATGGCCTCAAATTTACTCAATCCTGAGAGTAAGAGATTTACACCTCCAGCAGTGTTACGGGTCTAACTTCTTCTAAATTAGTAGCTAGATTTTGAGATCAACAAAAAACCGCTTGTGATTCTGCTGTAATTGCTGGGCTGACGATGATTATCAGCAAGAGGTAAGGGCTCTAGGATGAACCTTGTAGGACTCCATAGTGTATGTTTGAGGAAAAATCACCCATCCGGATGATCGCGTGCCGGTGCTGGAGGTACTCATGGTTGAAAGTTCTCAGCGAACTTCCTACCGCTGCGGACTTTGCAGTGAAGTGCAGCGGCCAACCGTGCCTGGCACTTTCGAGAAGTCAAAAGTTAACCCCAAGGCTCGCATCTGTCATCATTATTGACAGTACGGGATCTAAGGCAGAAACGCGGGCACGTGACGAGGTCACTTCACCTCACAGTTAGTTAGTTCATCGGCGACTATGGATTTCAGGACCATTGGTAACCCAGGAAAAGGGTTATTCACAGAAGCCAATTAGAATTGAACGACGTCCTTCTTGAAATATAGGAATAAGTAAACCCTGCTTCTATACAGAAGTCAACGCCCTTCCGTCAAAGGGCGACTAAAAGCTCGAGATAGCTCCATAGTTAGAGCGTGAACTTACTGACTGGAAGAATGAAAAAGGTAATCGTTCACCATCATTTAACCACATTGTGTGTAGCAGCAACCAGGAGAAAGGAGCGGTTGGTTTCCCGCGTAGTGGTTGTCTTAGATTGCCGCAACGCTATTTGCAGACCTTAAGACTTCTCTATCCTGAAAATGCTGCAGGAGACCCGATTATTCATATCCATTTATCGCTCATGGCTAAAATGTATACGTTGAAAACAGATATTCATCCAGAAGCAATCAAGATCCTCAAGAGGCGTCAACATTGCTCACCCAAGAAGGAAGAAACAGTCAATCAGTCGGCTCACAAGCTGTGCATCGAAGCGCAGTGTTTCCGGCTGTTACAGCTTCGTTCGCCGAGAAGGAAGAAAAGGGAATGAGGGTCACACCTTGAAGACGATGACCCGATCTGTGCATTTTCATCGAATGGTTCACTTTGTCGGGCATGGCGAAGAGTGCAAGTTACGAGAAGAGCTACCGTTTCTGGTCGTCGGAAGGAGTGGCGCAACTTCAACACTTGTCAGAAAGTGGTGATATGATCAGTGCAAATCAGGTCAGGACGAAACCCGGCTTGATTATTCCGATTCTGGCTAGGACGATTACGGATCAAACTTTGCTAGGTCTACAAAGCCGATAACCCGGTGGTTTTTGCACGATGTACTCGCACTTTTTTTGAATAGGATAATCACCGTCGAGGCGCTTCATCCCCTTGGACTTTTTGCTGATTCCAGATATTTTGCGGCAGGTCCATAAGGTTAAACAAGACAGTATCACCATTTTTAAGAGTGCAGAGTGCAAACTGTTTCAACTGGGTGCCTTTTTCTGCCGGAGCAATGAAACTGCACACTGGACTTCCGTCAACGATGGTGGACTGACGCAAACAGATCACTAGGGTTCCGGAAATCCTTCCAGGTCAGCTGATGAAGCCCAGCAGGACTGTTCTTCCAAAAAGTCAGGATTACGCCTTTGTGAATGGACTTAAGTTCCGTCCTTTTCAAAGTGTTTTGTCTCGCTGAGAGGTCGATCTTTTGCTTCCTGCTCCCCCCGCTAAGGTATATCAAAAGGCGCGATAGCATGAGAGAGCCCTTTATGGAGGATTATTACGACTGTATTTACAGGGTCATCTGTAAGTTCCAGAAAGACTCCGGAATCTTTGCGAGGGAGCGAGCGAGGTCGAGCTGTAGATGCTCGAGTCTGAATGGATGACATTCTGATCAGTCAAGGCTCTGCGTGACACATCCGTCCAGTGAACATGAAAAGAAATCCTTGATATTCCTGGAGTTGGAGATCAATCAGCGCTCTCTGTCAATCTCTAGGCCCTTCATAATTAGGTTTTCCAAGGATCTGAGCGCGCCATCACAGCCGTCTGTTGTCGGAAAGTCAACCTGGCTTGAATCAGTGCTGTTAATTTGGGCGACCTGGGAGTATCACCGTCAACGAGAAAACCTGATTCAAACTACTAAAAATAATGTCATACCACACCGGCCTCTGTGTGATGTCATCGGCCGAGTTATCCTACTCGCTGCTGGTAAGAAAACATTCCAATATTGACATTTCATCTTTCTTCATCTAGTTTTTCATCCCCCAACAACCGCCCTAGAGAGAACGCCCATTTTAGGCCAGATCATAGAGCGCATCGGATAAAAGGAAGAAAAGAGGTGGATCTCTGAGAAATGTTCCCACCGGTCGCAAACATAGCTTAGCCCAACTAATTATCAGACAATAAATGAACCTTGTAGTAAGCACCGACCGTGAAGCCTGCTGGACACGCAAGTCTAAAGAAACAGAAGAGGCCCAGAAAGCCAAGATCAATGCGATGGAGTTCCGGGAAGCACCAGTGAGCCAGACGACCAAGGATCAAAGTAGCACGAGCATTTTTAGTCAAGAACGACACCTCGAACGCTGGATCGATCACTCGAAACAATAATTCCCGTTGCCACCTACCACGATTCCATTGGGTACTGGAACTGCAATAGAAC